TGGGTTTCCAAGGCAGTATCACTACGGAAGTAGATTGCTCAACTTTCCTTCCGAGGAGTGGTATTTGTTGTTGTTGTTGTTGTTGCTGTGTGCCATCAAGTCAGACCAGACTCATAGCGACCTCTCCTTGGGTTTCCAAGGCAGTTCCCTATGGAAATAGATTGCCCAACCTTCCTTCCGAGGAGTGGTACTAGGAATACCAAATTCTAAATCAGAGTTTCCAGGAATTTGGCCCAGGAATTATTTTTTAAAAAATATTTTGGAATCAATTCTAACATGATTTCTTTACAAACACAGGTACCTTTGGCTAAAGAAGAATTTCTCCCCTCGGGAGATTTTTGATTACTTGTGGTTGGACTATTTGTTTATATGTGAAACATTTATGATAACGCTTGGTACAAATATATACTTAGTAAATGTGGGCTCTCTTTCTGTGTGTATGTGCCTGTGTGTGCTTAATTATGTAATTTACTCTGTCTGCATCTGTATAACAGGAGTCCCTAGATGACACACATGGTTAACTCACTGGCTGCTAACCTTCCTGCTGGTGGTTCAAGTCTACCCAGAGGAGTCTCAGAAGAAAGGCCTGGCTCTCTACTTCCAAAATACCATCCTTGAAAATCCTGTGAAGCACAGCTCTACTCTGATGCACATGGAGTCACCATGAGTCAAAATCAACTTGACAGCAATTTGTTCTAGGGTTTTCTGTTTTTTAAAATCTGTACAGCCATAGATCCTTAACAGGGAAATCTTCCACTATTATCATTTATCACTGGTCCATGCCACCTTTGAAACAGTTATGCAAAACATAAATCAGAAAATATAGATAAAAATTTGTCATATAATTTAATATCTGATCGAGAAGAAATGAGAGACTACCCCTAGAAAGAATTCACTGGAAACAGTATTTTTGCATTTCTTTGAGTAGATAAAGCAGGTAACATTCAACAAGATGGTCTCCCAGGTTTTAAAATTCACGTTTTCCTTTTTCCACCAAAGCAGCTATGAGGGGTCCCAAAACTTCACCCACCCACAATTACTCTCTGTAAACACAAGAATGGATGCAAACCAGAAGTTAAGGAGCTCTGGTAGCATAGTGCCTAAGGCACTTTACTGCTAACCAGAAGGCAGGCGGTTCAAACCCACCAGCCCCTCCTGGGAAGGAAGGTTGGGCGGTATCCGTAGTGATACCGCCTCAGAAACCCAAGGAGAGGTCGCTATGAGTCAGATCTGACTCCATGGCAAACCAAAGGGGATACTCCCATGGGGTCAGGACAAGAGCTCTCCAGTAGGCTCTGTCTTCTGGACCTCCCATGTAGTTTCCAAATTTCTCTTCTTCATCTTCTCCTTCAGCCACAGCTGTTCCGCATCGTGGCTCACCCTAGGACTCGCCTCTCCTACTTATTCCTGCTCAACTGGGTTCTCTCACCTCAGCTGATCCATGGCTCCCCTTTCTCTCCTCTCTTAATGGGCTCCCTGATTCCCTAATGTGCTAGTAAGTGGC